AAGACAAGTACTACATGATATCATTTTTATGTAGAATCTAAAAAAGTCAAAAAAAAAGTAGTAAAATGGTGGTTGCCAGAGGGGTGGGGAATGGGGACATAAGACTGATGGTGTTTAAGTATACAAACTTGTAATGAGTAGTAAGTTAGCCATGGAGATCTAATGCATAGTATAATGTGGTCAGTAATATTGTACTGGAATAACATAATGTGATAAATATTGCTTCAATAGCAATCATATTAAAATATATAAATGTATAAAAATAACATGCTATACACCTTAAATTTACAAAATGTAACATGTCAAATATTTAGAAAAACATACCCTTATTTCTCACTCCAAAGTCTACTTTTCTTTAATGACTTTAGCTTTCAAAAATAAGCTGAAGTAGAGTAGAAGCAGCATATCTGCAGAACCCTAGAGATGGAGACACCCCAAGAACAGGCACATTGACAAGAAGAGAAAGTCACAACTCATGATGAAGCAGAAGAGAAATAAATAAAAAGCTTATAATAAGTAAAAATGATTGTAAAATGGTATGAGAAACATGATTCCATACTTCAATAGACTTCAAAAACGTGTCTGTAGCAACAGTTCTGAATAATGATCATGGGGCAAAAAAGCAGGTAAAATTGAGTTCAGTATATTCAGGTAAAAAAGATAGGGCACAAATAATTTGGGAATAGAAACATACTTCTAATTACTTTAGGTATCATGGATGTATTCTCATCTGGAACAAAGTCTCCTCTAGTAGAGTCAGATTAATGAAATGACCCTGCACTCATAACTATAGCATGGGATTATATAACTAATTACATAAACTACAGTTTCTTTGGTGTGCGTAGCCTAGTGGGACTTGTGAAAAATAAGTATGATAATTGCAACTCTAAGTGCATACAAAATATGGTTGTATCATAGAGGAGGGAATTGTCAAATCAGCTGGGAGTTGGAAGGATTCTACAGTGGAGAGGTTATTAGACTGGGTCTTAAATGAGTAATAGACACCAGGGAAGAAGGGAATATAAAATATGGAGGCCTTATTATAGCTTACATACATTCCCCTGTTGATTTCCTTTCTGCATTTAGTCAATTAACCATTACCCCAGGAATAATTAGGTCTATTATAACAGAAGGTAGTAGAATAGAGATTATCCTATAAATGGTAGTTCGTGAATGCATACCATCTGTCAAACACCCAAACATCCATGCATCCATGTATCCATTTATCCTTGTGTGCTTACTTGGAAAGAAGGATTACTGGTCCCAGGTAGGTTTGGTTGGCATTGCTCAGGTGGGTATTTGGGAGAAAAAGCTAAGGTACCTTGCTGGGTATGGCTGGAATATGCTGAACATGATGGGTTAAGGCCTGGAGGTAACAGGCGAAGAGGAGGTGTGTACTCTGTACAATGGCACTTCCAGCTGCCAGCCGAGCCCCACGTGCTATGGTCTGAATGTTTGTGTGTTCCCTCCGTAACCCCCTCAAATTATGGAACCTCTTGCACAATGTGATGGTCATAGGAGGGGGACCTTTGGATGGTATGTAGGTCATGAGGGCAGAGCCCTCGTAAATGGGGTTTGTGCTCTTGTAAAAGACTCTACAAGAGATGGCTTTCCTCTTTCACTATGTGAGGACACAGTGAGAAGCTAGCAGTCTGCAGCCCTAAAGAGGGCCTTCACTGGAAACTGACTATTTCGGCACCCTGACTTCAGATTTCCAGACTACAGAACTGTGAGAATAAATTTCTGTTGTTTAAGCCACCTAGTCTGTGGTGTTCTGCTACAACAGCCTGAATGGATTCAGACACCACATCACTGTCCTTCTCCACATGGCAGCCACATCGATACCTGCAGATAGTCAGTAATGAGAGCTGAGCATCTTCAACGGCGGCTTTATTTCACCAGCATGAAAGGTTTCCCTGTGATACTCGTTAGTCATTCCTCAGAAGCTTTGTGCCACTGTATTCTGAGGTTTTGCCAAATCTCAACTGAAATCATCTCCTAAGAAATCCAAGTCTCTCACTAATCTCACTGAACTAGAAAAAGTTGCTTGTTTCCTAGAAATGAAGGTGACAGTCTAAGAAAGCAAGCACCCAACCTGTATTTGAAACAACTCAAGATCTCTCTTCAGCTGGGAGCATAGAGAATTAAAGCTCCATTTAATAGATACCTTCTAGTTATTCTTTAAATTTTAACACAAATATTGGGGAGTCTTCAGTATCCCTCCTTATTGTTTCTCAGTGGATGCTTTTCTGGGCTCCCACAATAATTTTTGTATGACCTTATTAAAAATTTAATGCCTTGTGCCATACCTGTTGATTTATGTGTTTGAATTTTCCCCAAACTGCAAGTTCTTTGCAGAAGACCATGTGTTACCTGACTTTGGATTCTCAGCACCTCGCACAGTCTGGGCATAAAGGAGGCTTTAAATGCATGATCACTGAATAACGAAGGCAGGGAATGAAGATAACATGTGCAAAAGCCCGGATGGAGTGAAAGTGCATGGTGCCAACACAACATAGCAGTGTGGATATTTGCTGGAAAGGACATTGTGAGTAGGATAATGGGTACAAATAATCAGAGGAAAAAAATCAGGGGCTGGGGCATGAACAGCTTTTGGTACTGTGAGGAATTTGAGCTTTATTTGGTGAGGTGTCAGAAAATGTTTGTCCCTGCAAGTGATATGAAGTTGTTTGTGCTTTAGAAAGATAATTGGCTGCACTGTAGATGATGGGTTACAGGGAGATGAGGCAAAAGCATTTGGAACACAGAAAAGCAGCAGCAGTGGAAATGGATAGGAGGTGATGATGTCATCGCTCTGAAGGCAGGGTTGGTAGCACTGGTGTGGCAGTGGGTCATGAGCCCACAGGCAGAACTGAATCCTCAGTAGATTTGATGATGCAGGAGGAAAGATACCTCAGAAGCATGTGACTGGGATGGTGAACCTTGAGTGTTTTCATGGCCTTTCCACTAGCTAAATACTAGAGTATAGACAACCCTCAGACCTGGGCTGTGCCAGTTGGTGGAACGTTTTTATCTGTGTGGCTTGGACCATCACTCTTCCGGCCCAACTCTGGGAAGAATTAAGGAAGCTACTGGGCAGTTGAGCCCACTTAATTGAGTCCATGTTTACTTGTGTGTGACCATTGCACTATTTATTGCTACCAAATTTATTGCAAATTTAAACTCAATCTCAGTGGGTGTTCTCCCTGGTCTTGGTGGGGTGACTGGCTGAGAGCACAGGGAGTGATTATGTGGGGGTGGTGAGGCAGACCGAAGAACAGTATCAACCCCCAGGTCCCTGGATAAATGACTTGTAGCTGCTCATTAGAATGAAGTAGGAATGCAGGAAAAAGAAACAGATTATTGAGGATTGGTTAGTAGTGGGTTTTATTTTTGGCACATATGCATGAAGATCTCAGACATCCAGCTTCAAACCTTGATCAGAGGATAATGTTGAAAGGTTCACTCTGGACAGTTTTGCTTATTTGAGAGGGCTCATCTGGGCATAAATGTTATTTAAATTCCTTAATTCTTAAAATGCTTTCTACATTGCTTTCTCTCTATCCCATTTTCACCTAGAAATTCAAATTAAGCTGTATAATATACTAGCATTACCCTGATGACTAGTCCCCAAATTTGCTGACTGAAACCTTCAAGGAGGCTTGGAGGGCAGTGACAGTCACAATGGGGAGCACAGCATTTTTTTTATTAAAGTACAATTGATATAATATTACATTGGTTTCAACAGAGTGATTCAACAGTTATAGATATTATTAAATCCTCACCCCAACTAGTGTAGTTATTGTCAACATAGAAAAATGTTACATAATTATTGACTCTATTTGCTATGCTCTACTTTCATGGCCATGACAAACTTATATGATGACCGAGATTTCATGCCTCCTTATCCCCTTACCTAGTTCACCCTTCCACCCCACCCCTTCCCCCATGGTAACCACCAATCACTTCTCACTGTCTGTAAGTCTCCTGCTGTTTGGGGAACACAGTATTTGAAGAAACAAATGAAGGAAAACTTGAAGGAATAATTGTAGCGTAGTTACCAGTGCATTAGCTTTGAAGACTTATCCCCAGGGCATCTTTAATGATGTGTGGGGTGGAGGATTTCTAACAGAAGACTGCATAAAAGCATCTATCTCTCTCTCTAGATCTGAAGAAAAGCTGCAGTTCCTACCTGAAGCCTGATGTAGATTCTTTGCTGAGAAAGATATTTTCAAGTCTGTAAGTGCTGGGATAAGTAAACACACGTGATTGTCTTTTTTGTTTAGACCTTGGCTCTCGTGCCTTGCCAAAAGGTAATGGAAAACTAATGCTGCTGAACAAGGATGATTTTCATCAAAGGCCAGGCAGAACCCATGGTAGAAATAGAGCTTCTTAAACCACCTGCAGCCGACACTAAAGAAGCCTACGCACTGGCAAAGAAGAGTTTTTGATGTCTGGCTGGGACTGCCGTGTGTGAGTTGGTTTCCATAGTGAAAACTCATCTCTTTGTGGATGATTAACTCTTTCATGATTATAATAAAAATAATTCTTTCTTTCTGAAACAAATGGGTGCAGTCAGTTAGAAGTCTGTGATTTCATCTAGAATGAGAGAAATTAGACCCTGTGGTTGGATACTAGGAAAAGCAAATACTCGCCAATTTCTTCTAGCTCCTGAAAGGCATGAAATATATTACATATTCAATGGGAAAGTTATTTGTTCCCTTGCTAATTTATTCTGATGGGCAGATGTCTTGGAGAAAGACCCAGATAGAATTTAAACTGGGGCTAAGAAGCTGTTTAGAGACTGCAAATCTCTAACCATATTTTAAAATATATCATATGTGTTTCTAGCATCCAAAATCATGTCTGAGAAATGATATATGCTCAATATATCATTGCTATACCAAATTAAATTTACCTTATCTTTTAATGTGCTGTTACCCCAGTTAGACTCTAAATTTTTTCATTTGGAGAGAAATTACTAGTGCCAAAATATTTACCTGGAGTTGACATCATTGTATGTAAACATTTGTTGAACTCAATGGATATTCTGGAGACAAAGAAATAAAAATAATTGCCCTGTTAGCAAATTAAGATATATAGAGATTTCTTAGATATCCAAAGAAGGGATTTTGCAATACATTAAAAAAATTCCTAGCATTTATTACAGCGTCTGACATGTAGTAAGTAGCTGGAGTGGTTAACTCATCTCGGTCTGCCCACGACTTCGTTTTAACACAGAAGTCTCATATCTCAAGAACCCTCTTAGTCCTGGGCAAACTGAGATTGTGGCCTCTCTACATTGTGGCCTTCATTACTGAATGAAGGAATAAATAAAAGTTAGGTTTACTAATCTCATAAATCCATTCCTCAGATTCCATATAAATATATTCTCTGTATTTATTTCATAAGAAGTCAAACCTGAATAATAAGTCCTACTCCATATGATCACATGAGTCAACCTATGAGGGTGTCAGAGGTGGTTGGGAAAGTGGGAGCCGAACAGAGGTCATTAGAAAAATTTCATGTTAATGACATTAAGCTAAATATTGAGGTCACCACGTCACCAATGGGCTTAGAAATCCTTTGCAAAGTCTCCTTTCATAAGGCAGAGAGCACCAACAAATGCTGTGTCAGTGATTCTTTATGCCTTCATGTGACTGCTCCCAATTCTCCTCCTCTCTGGTGTGTTCTCTGTTCATATATGTGAATTTTCTAAATTTGGGCTCATCTTAATATGGAAGTTATATTGTATCATCAGGGGATTTGCATATCTGTTCCTTTATAAATCTTTCTCCTAAGATTCACTCAATTATTTATTTATTTATTCAGCAAATAATTCTAGAGTTTCTATCTTGTGCAAAACACTGTTTTGGTATTGGTATACTGCCCTGAACAAAACAGACACATAATTATGTTCTGAAGCATCTCCCTACCACAAAGAAACAGGTAGTAAAGAAAATAAGTAAAATATATAGTAGGTTAGATAGTCAGTTCTATGGAGACAAGTCAAGAAGATGAATAGGGTTTTGGGTAGAAGATGTCAAGTGGGAACTGGAGATGTCATTTTAAATAGGGCTACTAGGGATGCCCATAGTCATAAGAGGACATTCGAATCGAGATTTAAATAAAGTGAGGAAGCATGACAAGAGTCTAAACAGTGTAAAGGGAACAGCAAGTGCTATATTCTTAAGACAAGAGTTGGCCTTTTGAGTCCCATGAATAGGAAAAAGGTCAGTGGCAAGGACAGGAAGAGCAGAAGATGAAGTGGGAAGTGAAAATGGGGCATAAGTGGGTTGTGGAGGGTATGAGGTCTTCTTGGGCCATGGGAGTCAACTAAATACACTGGTTTCTCTGAGTGACTTGAGAGCCTTTGAGGGAGTTCAGGAAGAGAACACTCGACCTAATCCACATTTTAACAGTATCACTCTGGTTGCTGTGTTGACAACAAAGGAGACATGAGGCAGTCAGCAAGAGCGATCAGAAGGCTACTGCAAAAGTTCCAGCCAGAGAAATTAATTCCTTGGAAAAGGACGGAGGCAGTGGAGGTGGTGATGGATTTTGATGGTAGGGTTGTCAGGATTTTTTACAAGTAAAAGGAAGAGCAAGTGATAACTACACGGTCCATGGCCAGGGCGACTGGAAAAAAATGTACAGCGTACTAATCATCTCAACGCTAAGTACAAGCATGCTCCATAACAATGATTTTTCATGATCTGATTCATTATCCTCTGTTTCCTATGGTAATGTTCAGTGGGTAATGTCAATTTCCTATTTTCAAATTCTTGTGGTGAAGGCATCTTATCAGTATAGACTTCAAGAACTTTCAAAAGTAACCATGTATTTTGAGGTTAGTTTCTGGGAAAAAAAATTCCAAATTTTTACAGGTTTCTCACTTCACAGAATAGGAAATTTGCTGGTTACTAACTTCAGTTGCATGTTGTATTCTGAAATATTAGACATATATTTCTTTTAAGCCTGGCTGACAGAATGTTTTCTTCTGCCAAGTTCAGCAATCAATCATGTCACACTGGCTTTTTAATTTTGTGTTTCCAAACACATCCTCAGGACTGTCTTTGTGATTAGTTGATTGTGTGAAACTTCACTTGTAAAAATAATGTTTGTTGAGAAAGTTTGCAAAAATAAAAACATGTAATCCATGATAAAATGTTTTCAAAGCTTAGAAAATTTTCTTATTACTTGTAAATTTGACAACATAATTACCTCTGAGAAGAGTTTAGATGCATAGTTTATTTTTCCCTCATTATTACCCACATTAAGTACTATATTGGATAAATGTTGTAACAAGTGGCAGACTGAAGAGGTAGTAACCACTGGAAAGGTAATTCATTGACTAATGCACTAGTGAGGTGTTTTAACAAAAATAGTTCACCCTTCATGATAGTGCACCTTATTTAGATTTGTTTTAACTCCTCAAGCGCCACACGTAATAACTTTTATGTAAGATTACTAACCTTGGTGAAGCTTTCTAGGGATTCAAAACTTGAACAAAGGCTGAATCTTTTCTGATCTGGAAAACAAAAAAGGATATCCATCATTCTTCTTGTAAGCTGAAACTATTGCCTGCAATGGAAGATAAACATAAATTCAACTCTTCACAAAGTGAAGTAGACTGATGTATTTTTAAAGATTTGAAAGCATGTACTGCAGCCTAAGAGAACTCCAACCCTAAACAGATTCTATCTTTCTTAAAATAGTGGCCTCATATTTCTTAGGATGGAATTTTTAGGAGCAATAAAGTAAAAGATGAAAGACTTATAAACTATGAAACACAGGACACAGAATTGTGAGCCCCATTCCCATAACTCATGCAGGAGAACTTTCTTGTAGTCTGTCTCTAATGCATGACTTCATTTGCTGGGTAAATACACGTAGTTAATTTTCCCTATTCAACATGTTTGACTGCTACAAGTATCTGAAAATGATCAATGAATCTATTTTAGGGTGTTTTCAGCAGACAGTTCAGATACCCAGTGAGATTATTTATGACACAGACCTATTGCGACCCTAGATGTCACTTTGTTGGGTTGTTCGATCATCTTTGTTTTCAGTGTGTTGCCAACTGAATTTAAGAAGAAAGTATCAGTCTGTGTTAGTTATTAATGTTCTGTATCTGTTGATGCTAACACAACAGACTGAAAAATAGAATCAGTTGCTGTTTCACCTGGTATGACACAGCTTTACTGTCAGGTAGGCCTCTTAAATGCCAAGCTTCTGGCATTTGCCAATGGAGTTTGTGCTCTTTAGTTCCCAGAACATTTCTTCTTAACCTTTTATATATCTTAGGTCCCACTGTCAGTCTCATAAAGGCCATGGGCTCCCCTCAAAGTAATGTTTTTAAGTATATAGGACAAAATACATAAAACTACAACAGAAACAAAGCATATTGAGATTTAATTCTATCTACAGACCCTTTCAGGCTCAACATTGAACCTATCTATGTTTTAAGTCTACTCAGGCTGCTAAATTGAATACATTCGATTAAGTGGCTTATAAACAACAGAAATTTATTTCTCACAGTTCTGAAGGCTGGGAAGTCCCAGATAAAGGTGCGCACATATTCGATGTCTGGTGAAAGCCCACTTCCTGGTATACACACAGGTGTCTTCCTACTGCATCACTATGTAGCAAAAGGGGAAGGGGAGCTCTCTAAGGCCTTTCTTATAAGAGCACCTATCCAGTTCATGAGGTCTCCTGAGTTATGACCTAATCACATTCCAAAAGCCTCACCTCCTGATAATTTGACATTGGGGGTTAGAGTTTCAACATGAGAATTTTGGAAGGATGCAGGCATTCAGCCCATAACATCTGCTTTAAGACAACATGCAGGAGAAATTAGAGCTTGCCGTTAAATTTGAGGGTAAGAGGTCATGAGAGAAAAAGCCTTTACTTCGGTCTCTAGCTTATCATGCTTGCTTAATAATCAATCCTAATGTAAGTTATGGGTAAATTCAAGAGGAGATTTTAGTGTTTCAGTATACACTTAGGGATAAAGAATGGGTAATATCGACAAGGACGTAACTTTTCTTTGAAAATGATCGTTTTGACTGCTGAAGGTAAAACATGTTGCTTCCTGCACCCTTGTTAATTTGTATCCACCCCCTGGAAATCTTTTCTCACAGTTTAATGTTGGCCTTAAAAGTACTAAAACTGAGAAAACGTACTGGATGTTTCATCTTTCTACTCTGCACATGATGCCGGGGTTCTTGTTCACGGAGCTGAAGAATGAACTTAACAGTCAAAGTAGGACAGCAAGGCGGAGGCTTTTATTTAAAGAGAAAGCGAGAAGACAGAGCTCCCAGCTCAGGCCAGGATGGGACAAGAGAGCCCCGTGGTGGTGCGTCGTCTAGGAGTTTTAAAGGCAGTTGAGAGACAAAGGGACAGGGATGCACACCTGCTAAGTGGTCCCAAATACTTTTGAAGAAACACTAAGTTTCTTTTGGTCTTCCTGGTTATTTATAAGAATTCTACTGCTCTGATTTCCTCCCAGGATAGCAGCTTCCTGGTCTGGGAGCCTATCACTCAAGGCCGCCTGCTTTGCTCCTAAGGTGCGCTGAGTTGTGTGTCTGTTAAGAAACTAATTGGGTTTTAAGATGGAATCCTTTCTGTTTTTACTATGTTGTTTTGGGCTTGCAGTAGTTTGGGGCTTGCCTGCTACATTGCCTTAGTTGCAACATATCATTTGTTCAGGGCTGGAGGAAGAAAAGCAGCACTTGAGGGAAGTTAGAAAAATAAGCTGGGCCCCCCAGGAGGCCAAAGCAAATCTCACAATGCATTATCTTGTTTTTGTTTTTTCCCAGAGGCTCTCACCCTACTCTGTCTAAGCCCAAGGTCCCTGTCTCACATATACTCAGCTATCAGTTTATTACAGAGATACTTCAAGTTTATGGGGAAACTGTTGTAAAAGGAGAATTTTTCTCCAGATTATTCAGTTGTTAAGGCAGTGTAATCATCAGTGCTTGATGCAACATTGTTTCTGGAATTTTATTAGGTTTGGATAAATTCAGTGGATTGAATTAGGTGCTAATAAATTCAGCTAATTCAGGGTGTGCTCATGCCGGATTACTTAACATTGTGTACTCAAGGCATCAAAATGGAAATACGTTTTGGAAAAATTCATGTATCTTACACTCGTTTTCCTGCAGTGAAGTTAGTCACCAGAAATGTGGCTCCTAGTTTGGTTCGATCCCTGGACTAGTTTTTTATTCTCTCTACCACCTTCTCACCTTTACATGGATCTTTTACCTTCTTTCCATAAACTGCCTGTGATAACAGAGTTCTTGCAGACTCTACTAATTCTCTTATTAAACTGGATAACCCTAAGTACTAACCTAAGGTGTCCCAGGCCACAATACGTAAGAAATAACAGATTACTGAAAAAAAAAAAAGAAATATTTAGGACTCAAAAACAAAACTTGTAAATCTGGTTGTGTCACTTGAACTTCACCAAAGTAAAAACTGAAGCACATTTTCATTGCTTACAAGTGTTCCTTTTGGAAGACAACCACTAGGAAATACCTAAAAAAAATTAAGTAACAGTTCTCACTGATTTGCCTTTTCTTAGAAACATTTTTATTTATTTGCTAAGGTGTCATTGATATGCAATCTCATGAAGGTTTCACATGAGCAACATTGCGGTTTCAACATTCAACCATGTTGTCAAGTCCCCCCACAACCCTACTGCAAACACTGCCCATCAGTGTAGTGAGATGCTGTAGAGGTATCACTTGACTTCTCCATGCTGTACTGCCTTCCCTGTGACCTACCTATAGAGTGAGTGATAATTATAATGCTCCATAATCACCTTCTCTCTCCCTCCCTCCCCAACCACCCACCCCACCTTCTTCCTTTTGGTAGCCACTTCTTGGAGTCAGTGAGTCTGCTGCTGTTTCGTTCCTTCAGTTTTGCTTTGTTGTTGTACTCCATCCACAAATGAGGGAAATCATCTGGTACTTGTCTTTCTCTGCCTGGCTTATTTATCTGAGCATAATACCCTCTAGCTCCATCCATGTTGTTGCAAATGGTAGGATCTGTTTTCTTTCTGTGGCTGAATAACATTCCATTGTATGTGTACCACATATTCTTTATCCATTCATCTGTTTATGGACACTTAGGTTGCTTCCATGTCTTGGCTATTATAAATAGTGCTGCGATAAACATAGGGGTGCATATGTCTTTTTGAATCTGGGACCTTGTTTTCTTTGGGTAAATTCCTAGGAGTGGAATTACTGGGTCAAATGGTATTTCTATTTTCAGTTTTTTGAGGAACCTTCGTATTGCCTTCCACAATGGTTGAACTAATTTCCATTCCTACCAACAGTGTAGGAGGTTTCTGCTTCTCCTCATCCTTGCCAGCATTTATTGTTGCTTTTCTTTTGGATGTTGGCCATCCTAACTGGTGTGAGGTGGTGTCTCATTGTGGTTTTAATTTGCATTTCCCTGATACTTTGCTATGTGGAGCATCTTTTCATGTGCTTGTTGGCCATCTGAATTTCTTCTTTGGAGACGTGTATGTCTGATCCTCTGCCCATTTATTAATGGAGTTATTTCTTTTTTGGGTGTTGAGGCATGTGAGTTCTTTATATATTTTGGATGTTAACCCCTTATTGAACATGTCATTTATGAATATATTCTCCCATACTGTAGGATGCCTTTTTCTTCTGCTGATGGTGTCCTTTGCTATACAGAGAAGCTTTTTAGTTTGATGTAGTACCATTTGTTCATTTTTGCTTTTGTTTCCCTTGTTTGAGGAGATGTGTTCAGGAAAAAGTTGTTCATATTTATATTCAAGATATTTTTGCCTGTTTTCTTCTATGAGTTCTGTGGTTTCATGAGTTACATTCAGCGCTTAGATGCATTTAGAGTTTACTTTCCTGTATGGAGTTAGACAATAATCCAATTTTATTCTCTTGCATGCAGCTGTCCAGTTTTGCAAACACCATTGTTGAAGAGGCTGTCATTTCCCCATTGTATATCCATGGCTCCTTTATCATATATTAATTGGCCACATACATGTAGGTTTATATGTGGGCTTTCTATTCTGTTCCATTAATCAATGGATCTGTTCTTGTTTTTGCTTTGATTACTGTGGCTTTATAACAGAGCTTGAAGTTAGAGAACGTAATCTCTCCAACTTTGTTCTTCCTTCTCAGGATTGCTTTGACTAATTGCAGTCTTTTGTTGTTTGATATGAATTTTAGAATTATTTGTTCTAGTTGAAGAATGCTATTGGTATTTGATAAGGATTGTATTGTATTTGTAGATTTAGGCATGATGGCCATTTTGACAATATCAATTCTTCCCATTAAAGAACAATGCATATATTTCCATTATTGGTACCTTCTTTAATTTCTCTTATGAGTTTCTTGTGGTTTTCAGGGTATAGGTCATTCACCTCCTTGCTTAGGTTTATTCCCAGGTATTTTATTCTTTTTGATGCAATTAAAAATGAAGTTGTTTTCCTGATTTCTCTTTCTACTAGTTCATCATTAGTGTGTAGGAATGC